TTGATCAAACAGGGCCACTTAGTCGAATACATCGATAAGCCTCGAAACAAGCGTCGTGATGATCTCCAACGCCGAGATAACATTCGAGATCAACCGAAACGACGAGAGGAGGGAGGTCATCGGCGAGAACAAGATACAATGATATCAACCCACCCGGGGAGTCATTGCCTTTATCTCTGGAGGACCGGCGGGTGGCGACTCACAAAATGCGAGACGCTCCCTCGCTCGATCAGCACGTATGAATCAAGAGCATTTTTCTCCATCCGCATCTATCTATCAGATACGAAGATATGATCATATCATAGTCTTCAACTCTTCGGACCTTAAAGGTCCAGATGAAGATCATATCGATGCATTGGTAATCACAGCATCGGTGGCCAACTTCTTGGTTAAGAAGATATTAGTGGACGGTGGAAGCTCAGCCAACATCATGTATCTCCACGCTTTCAAGCAGCTGGGCATAGATAATGCCCAGTTTAGCCCCATCTCCACGCCCCTAAAAGGATTCACGGGAGATGGCGTTTTATCCATGAGAGAAGTGGAGTTGCCCATTTCCTTAGGGGACAACCCTTGTCAAATTACCAAGATAATCAAATTCCTCATCGTCGACAAGCCGCCCCCCTACAACATCATCCTAGAGAGGCCAGCAATCCATACATTCAAGTCAGTACCTTCATCCTACCATCAAAAGTGGAAATTCCCCACTCCTTAGAGCAACTCCTGTGGAGGAATTAAATGGGGAATTACATGGAATAACTTCTATTTTGATGCTCCAAAACATAAATTTCCATCTCCAATGGGGGAATTAAATTGGTAGTTATTTTGATATTCAACTTCTCGAGATGCAAAAATGCATCTTGGAAAAAGAGGTATCAAAACATTAACTACTCAACAAACCAATTAAAAATTGACACGTGTCAATATTAAATATATTTATGCTTATATTTAAAATTAGATGATTCATTTAATGCTTGCGGTTGGAGTAAATGAGTATCAAAATAATAAACTAGTATCAAA